ATGTTACACACAGCTTGTTTTCTTCTATTATTATACTGCTCTTAATCTTCATTCCTTATATGCCTCTTTCTCTTTTTGTAGTTGCTGGAATAGGTCTGGAGAGGACTGCCTACACTATGAGCTCTACTGCTGAAACAGTGGAAGTGTGTCTCTATGTATCAAGGCCAGCAATAAGTTGTCCCATCTCTTTCCCCTTTGACATCTTCTTCAATATAACAACCAGTGCAGGTTCACTATAATTACTAGTATGCATAATGGGAATAAGTTCTGAGGGGGCTTTAAAATCTTTGAAGTCGACCCACTTGACCCCACATTCTTTCACTTGCTACTTTGAATTCTTGCGCGATTCACGCACAATTCACGTGAGCACTTCCAATGTTGATCCTCTGAGGTCTCTCTTATTCTGAGTCCTTTCTCGGAGGTGTGATTGCTGTAGATAGCTACTTTCTCCCATCTTTCACAGATGTGTTCGAAGTTGATACAACCCAAGAGCTCAGTCAGGCCGATGGCATCGATGAAGAAAGACGAGGACTCTACAAACTCCTCTTTGACACGTGCCAGAAGCGATTCTGTTTCGATGTCTGTCGGAGGGACCTAACAAGTGGAGACCGTGGAAGGTTTGAGATGACTGTAACCAGGACACCAGACCACGGCCGGACCACCGAGATTGTTTCAAACATGGGATATATCGAAATTCGTTAACGGGACTATACAGAATGAATAACTGCAAACTGTATACTATAGAGAGAGCTGTGTATTCCCCCATTAATTAAGCATACTGTAATTGATGAAATGTGATGTATTTTGCTTGTCAAGCGCAGCTCAATAATGCATATTGTTTATGCGAAGTATGTGCCTATGCGGAATCAATGCTGCTGGTTGGAGTTTTCTGTTAGATTGGCAGCTGAGGATGTGTGGAGACAGAAAGAAGGAGCTATCTTTGAGGAGCTTAAGCTTGTCCTCCCCTTTCCCTCTACGCACTCTAAGTACTGCCAGTGGCCATTGCCTATGGCAACCTCATGCAAGCTGCCGCCATGTCACATGCCGTAAGAACCCCATCAGGAATTAACCAGTATTTCCAGTATATTATAGCTAACATTTTTAGAGGAGCCATGAAAGGGTGGATTGTGTCAGGTTGTATGGTAGGTCCTTTGTTTGCCTGGAAGAAGATTATCATAGTCAGTTTACACAGATGTAGTAGAGAAAGAACCAACATAATGGCAGGAGTTGAACTCAGGTCCACTGTACTGGGAAACCTGCACACTAAGCACTGAGCCAGACAGGTTGCAAGGCAACAACTCTCAAACAGGTTTCAAGGTTTTGCCAGAGGCAATGAAGGACCAACTTTCAATTGGGAGTAGTATAGGTAGCCTGCTAGCCAGCACACTGGGCCTGAGTGGGCCTGAGTTAGACTCCTGTCCAGAAGTTGTTTTTTCTCTTTCTACTAATACTACGCCTGTGTATCCATTGAAAGGACAGTGCACTTACATTGAAATTGCATTTGTGGAGGTTCTACATGTGTATAACAGTGGAACCTGCAGGTAAAGGTAGCCTTGGGAACATTGAAAGTGTCCCTTCCTCAGAGGTAATAGTATTGGTACAAGGTAGAGTGAACAAATGTTCTGCACTGCAAGGCAAAACAACTAGCTAGTTCACCACATGGGTGGGCCTTGCTGACTCCAGGGAGTTGTTGATATGTAATCTAACATGGTTGTGAACATCAGAACTTACCAGAACAGAACACTCGTAGAAGCTGTATAGAGTAGAACCTTGAACAGAGCAGGTAGCTATAAAATTCAGATTTTGTACCATTGTGTATAGAGTCAAGTGATTAAGTATCAGATCACTAAAAAGGTGTTTCGTGTCCGTTTGCGCCGAGACTATCAACAGGTTATGGGCCCAGGTCTCTGATAGACACTGCTGTGTTGCACTGCAGACTGGAGTTGCCTGGATAGCTGCGGTGTCGGTCGCTTGAGTTAACTGACCGACCGGATACCGGATCTTTCGTCCACTAACAGCTGACACTGGCCGAGCGCGCCATGGCGGGTTCGACGGTGGACGGAAAGTGGGTCATCGAAAAATTAGACGGGTCTGAACTGGACGACATGGAAATTTCAGATGCGACATCTGTTGCTTGCAAAGGGCCTTTGGGGTCTTGTGGACGGAACAGAAGCTCTCGCAGAGGGCGCCAATGCGCAAGCCGAAGAAAGCGCAGAGAACATTTTCTACGATCGTCCTGGCTATCAGCACATCCCAACTCTACCTGGTGACTTCGTGCGAACAGCCCCGAGAATTAAGCTTGGGAGGCCGTTACCAGGAATCCGCGGACATTACAAGAAAACATGCCTCTGGAATGTAAAAAAAATCGCGCGGTCAATGGGAACATAAACTTTCTTGCAGCGTTGCTTGATGGTCTACCAACTCCGGAGAGGTCCGAATGTCTGCAAGTCAAGAACGACCACTCCTCCACTGCCCAAGCACAAAATATTCACCGTGGAGCAGCTAGTCTTTCGGCCAACTACAATCTCTCGCACCGCATGCGTTCCCCATTGACATTTTGAATGAAATTTCAAAATCCGTGTAGTGTGGGTCTAAACCTATTTTGAGCGGCCATGCTTACTCTATTTTGAGGTCCGAACGTCTAGAACTGTAGAAGAGAGTCCAAAGTTTCAGATGAACCAAAAAAATTATGTTGGTTATATACAAAGTTAAGCGCAGTTGAAAATCGGTACATTTTGGATGAAGGAAACTGGCCCGTCTGCCTGGAGGAACCGGGAAGACTGCGTTTCTGTGTCTCACCCCACTTACTGTCATCTGAAAAGTCTGAAGGTTTCTGGGGCAATAGGAACCACTTTGAACGAGATACTCTCGCAAACAAGCTGTTTCTCAAAAAAAAAAATTTCAGGACCGAGATGAAGGAGGGGGCGTCGATCGAAGAGCATCTGAAGCACATGAAGGAATTGGTAGACAGACTTGCAGCGATTGGTGCGCCTATCTCAGAGGAAGACCAAGTAGTGACGCTCCTCGGTAGTTTGCCTCGGAGCTACTCCACTCTCGTGACAGCCCTGGAAGCTCGAGTGGACGATGTATCACTGAACTTCGTCCAACAAGCTCTCGTGCATGAAGCACAGAAGTTGAAAGAAGCATCAGGGTACTCGTACGACTCCAAGACGGGAACGACAGATTCAGCACTTGTAGGAAGACAGAAGTTCAAGCCTCGAAACATCAAGTGCTACAATTGTGGTCAACAGGGTCACATTCGTCGTGAATGCCCTTACAAGGATGTTGAACCAAAATCTTCACACAGAGCGAAAACAGCCGGAGAGGGAAAGTACAGAATCGGTGGGAGAAGGTGTTGGAGCATTTGCAGCATCCGTAGACTCTCCTCAAGGTGGAAAATGGCTCATAGACTCTGGAGCTTCTAGCCATATGACTCCAGACATGGAGCTTCTTTCTAATTATCGAGAGTTCGAGAAGCCAGAGAAAGTAAGTTTGGGTGATGGTCGGACGGTGAATGCCATTGGTGTGGGAGATGTCCATGTAAAAATGGAATTCAGGGTGAGTGAGCCAAAATATTCAGTTATGTACCAGGTGTTGCATGTCCCAAAACTTGCTTGCAACCTGTTTTCGGTGAGAGCTGCTGCAGCTAAAGGCAACTTCGTTCGTTCATGTAGAAAACTGCAACTCATTCACAGTGACGTATGTGGCCCAATGCCCACAGAGTCGATTGGTGGGCAAAAGTACTTCGTGACATTCATTGATGACTACTCAAGGTGCTGTGCTGTCTATTTCCTCAAGCACAAATCTGAAGTCTTCGAGAAGTTCAAAGAGTACGAAGCTAGAGTCACGAATGACAGTGGTCAACCAATTGGGACACTACGGAGTGACAATAGTGATGAATATTTGACAAAGGAGTTCAGAAGCTATCTGAAAATAAAAGGTATTCGGCACGCGTTGACAATACCTTATTCTCCAGAGCAGAATGGAGTAGCGAAAAGAATGAACCGAACCCTCATGGAGTCGGCCCGGTCCATGATCGCTCATGCCTGCCTACCCAACTCCTATTGGGCGGAGGCTGTGGCCAGTGCAGCCTACGTTAGGCACCGAGTTCCAACAACAGCAATCAAAGGTTGCAAGACACCATATGAAGTATGGTATGGAAAACAACCAGATGTAAGCCACCTGAGAGTGTTTGGGTGCACTGCTTATGCACACGTACCAGATGCTCAAAGAAACAAGTTAGACAAGAAGTCTCAGAAGTACCGTTTTGTTGGATACAGCAACAAATCCAAAGGCTATAGACTGCTGGAAGAGAAGTCGTCAAAAGTCTTCATTCGTCGAGACGTGATTTTCAATGAAACAGACTTTGGACAGAAAACAATGGAGGTCAACACCCAGCAAGGAAAAGTTGAAATAGAAATCAAGCCAGAAGTTGAACCAGACACGCAAAATGAATCAGAAGAACCAAGACGCTCTGAACGCCAGAGACAACCACCTGTTAGATAATGGTCTGGACAAGTATGCTGACACGGCTGCAACAACTGATGACATTCATCATGTGTAGCATGTCATGTTAGACAGATTGAAGAGCCAAAATCTATTGAAGAAGCTTTATCAAGCGAGTTTGCTAAGGAGTGGAAAGTTGCAGCAGATTCCGAATATGAGTCACTCATAGAGAATCAAACATGGGACCTTGTGGAATTGCCCGATGGCAGGAAACCGATCGGGTGTAAATGGGTCTTCAAGGTCAAACATATACCAGTGATGAAAAAGTGGAACGATTCAAGGCAAGACTAGTGGCCAAGGGATACGCCCAGAAATACGGTATCGACTACAATGGAACCTTCTCTCCTGTTGTAAGATTCTCTTCAATTCGAGCACTGCTGGCATTTGCAGTACAGAACGACATGCTCATTCACAAGATGGACGTGGTGACTGCATTCTTGAATGGTGAGCTGAAGGAAGAGATAATACATACATACATACATACAATGTAAGGTTGCAAGCAGATGATGGAGCCAGCAAGCTGGTTGATCAAGTAACCTATACCAATCGATGGTTGGAAGTGTACTATACGCAGCCATTGCGACAAGACCAGACATCTCCCAAGCAGTGGGAGTAGTGTCAAAGTACAGCTCAGAGCCTACAGAAGAGTCACCTAACTGCTGTAAAGAGAATATTGCGTTACCTGAAGGGAACAGCAGATCGTGCAATCACTTACAAAAGGTCAGAAGATACACCACTGTTTGGATATTCTGATGCAGATTGGGCTGGGGATCTGGATGACCGACACTCGACCACTGGAAATATGTTTCAAATAGCAGGAGGACCAATTAGCTGGCTGAGTAAGAAGCAAGCAATGGTGACTCTATCAACTGCTGAAGCAGAATACGTGGCTCTTAGTACGGCAGCACAAGAAGGTGTGTGGCTCAGACAGCTATTGAACAACCGACTCTAATCAAGGACGATAATCAAGGTGCAATGGCCATTGCAAGAAATCCCGTGTCACATGGACGGACAAAGCACATTGACATTCGATATCACTTCATTCGTGAAGCAATACAAGAAAGAAAAATCTCCCTGCCCAACAGAAGACATGCTAGCAGATTTACTGACAAAGCCAATACATAAAGCAAGATTCAAGAAACTGCGAGATGAAATGGGAATGGGGTATTCTGCACCACAACCTACTGATTAAGTGGGAGTGTTGATATGTAATCTAACATGGTTGTGAACATCAGAACTTACCAGAACAGAACACTCGTAGAAGCTATATAGAGTAGAACCTTCTAGAACAGAGCAGGTAGCTATATAATTCAGATTTTGTACCATTGTGTAGAGTCGAGTGAATAAGTATCAGATCACTAAAAGGGTGTTTCGTGTCCGTTTGCACCGAGATTCTCAACAGTATCATCCCGACAGCATTACTTGGTTCGTGTGCCACATTTGGTAGCCTCAGTCTTGCCTCTCTGTATGCCGAGAGGAGAAGCATGCTGTTCTTGGGAGGTAGCTATAATATGCTAGCAGCTATTTCATTACTCACTAACAGGGCATTGGATAAGGTTTTCTGTTTGTTCATACGAAATGTCAGACCATGCTAAATGTCAGACCATGCTAGATTGATGATGCTGTTCTTCAATTTCTTCCTTGGATCTTACATGGTCTTCTAGGGAAAGTATAGTTTCCCATTTCCAGGTCTGTCCCGGTGCATGTTTTACACTTTGTACGTGGCGTGACTGTTTCAGCATGTTGAACCGTCATGCCAAGTAAACACACACGTAGTGGGAAAGACACACATCCATACACATGTAGTACAGGTACATACACTTCATTGTCCCCCTATACAGTCCCTACACAGTAAGTGTCACCACGCAGTACGCACAGATGTCACAAGCAAGCATTAGAGTTGGCTCTTCCCTAGGTTTATAGGCTTATTTCTAGGCCCCTCGGGGTGTCTAAATCCCATATTTCCACTGATGCACAGTATAACCTATACTTATAGACTTCTTTCTTGTTGTAAATCACAATTAGTTGACTCTTGTCCGCCTTCTCCCCCTCACAGATGGATGTGTATGGTGGTCTCATTCTGTTCTGTGGGTTTGTTCTCGTTGACACCCAACTGATTGTGGAGCGATTCAACAACGGAGACAACGACAATGTCCGTCGCTCTCTCGACCTGTTCCTCGACTTTATCAACATCTTCCGCCGTCTGCTCGTAATCCTGGCCTCCAAGGTTTGTTTCCACTTGTGAGACAAGGACAGGGAGAGAAGGCGAGAAGGAGGGAGGGAGGGAGGGAGGGAGAGAGGGAGGGAAGGAGAGAATGAGAGAGGGAGGGAGGGAGGGAGGGAGGGGGGAGGGTAGGGTGGAAGGAGAAAGAGAAAGAGTTTTACTTAGGCTGCTAAAGTTATGTGTATTCCACACTTATTTTCACTCCTCAGGAATGAATCAAGTAAAAATTGAACCTTACAGTAAACTGCATAGTTGTTGAGTTTCAAACTGTGTGAATGGTTCCAAACATCCATTCTACCTTTTTCTCGATACGTCCACATCTTTGACTTCCTCCCCCCACCCCGTCTTCTCTCCCTCTCCCTCTCTTTTTTATCTCTCCAGGAGAAGAAGAGGAAGAACTAACTACACATTATACTGTTCTCTGGGTGATAGATACTTCAACTGTATATAGCTGTTGTAGCATCAAAAACACTGTACACACCAGAAATTACAAATTGTACCCAAAACCTATTTATTTGTACTCATGCACCATTTTTGTGATAATTTTGCTGCTATACGTATGATATAAAGATGTAAGTGTGCCAGTGTGTTGCACTGCAGTGCACCCAGAGTGGCTTCAAAACTGGATGTGTTGGTGCTCTTAAAATAGAGCATTGTACATAATGTAGGAATGGACTGCTAAAATAACCGTGACGTGTTGTACAATACAAGCTAGTGTCCCTTATGAGATTGCACTTCGCAGGGTGATATCAAAATTCATGCACATAGAGTATTGTAGCACTGGTGCAAGATACGTAATATAGTATTTGTTTGAAACTATAGTTGATGACCACATGGCCGCTGAAGGCACTAAAGGAGACTCCAGTCCTCGACACTGTATCAGAGCTGGGAAGACTCCTGGTGGGTGGGTGCTGGAGAGACGGTCATCAAACCCCACATGACTGTCCCAGACACTCAATTTAAACCATCTCCACATACCCACTCAAAAATCAAGAGACTCGTACCATTCTGGTTCTTCATCATGTGATCCAATTAACCCCTCATCAAAGGAATGAACGACGAGAGTCCTCACGATAGCGGACGGAGGAGGGTCTTCGTCCCGCGTCTCGCCACAAGTAACTGGAAACTGTGAGGTAGAGGCCCCGCAGGAAGACGACGAGGACTAGGAACGCTGCTAGAGACGAGAGCATGACGACATCCGATGTCCTCATACCTCCTCCCCGCCCGGCTTTTGTCAATTTTGCTAGCCGGCCACGTGGGTGCGCGCGCTAATTCACACGAGCATGCGCATTGAATCACCTGACGTCACTTGACGTGTTTAGCAACGCTACATAAACCGGCCCTTCTTCCTTGACAACGTATTTTTTGCAGCAGCGCGAGTTGTACTGCTTTCAAGCAGAAAAGAAAGGAGATTTTGTTGTTTAGCTGTTGTCGCAATGTAGGTCGTAGAGTGTCTAGAGCTTTTGCAGTTGAGTGGCTTCGTTTGTGCAGTTGTCAAGTAGCGAGAAAGTCAGTAGCCTGAGGGCGAACAGTAACGTAGCTAGTTGTAGTGTCGCCTCTTCCAAGAAAGTGTAGGCTGTAGTCAGGTAGCGAGAGAGAGTCGGTAGTCAGAGAGAGTGGCCAGAACTGACGGCCAGCGCTAGCTCCTCCAGCCATGGCCTCCCCCCGCCCCTCGTCTCCCGACTTCCACGACAAGAAATGTGAGCTGATTTCCTTCTCTACTTCTTTCTACTATTTTTAGTAGATAGGTTCTGAACTAAAATGCCCATAACCAAATAAGGAAGCGCAAAAAATACAATTCCCACCCACAGAATTACTTCATGAGAAAGGGGTTAAATTTTGTTTTGTTGTGTTATAGTTGGTTAATTTGATAGTATAGTAGTTGAGGGGTTAAATAGAGAGGGTTAAATGTCGTGTGGTTTTGTCTGGTGTGTAGATATGATGTTCACCAGAAACAATGTCCAGAGAGCTGTCAGGAACGTGAGGAGAACTTATAGTCTGGGGCGCTATTTGGCTGTCCCTCGGAGGAGACTGGGAGAAATTCAGAATCAGTTCAGAGGAGATGAGGGACGACAGGTGGATGAATATGTCACCTACTTCATGGACCACGACCCACTAGCCTCCTGGAGACGAGTTATTGTTGTTCTTGATAGGATGAAATTGTATGGAGAGAAAGAGGGTGCAGATAAGATACGACATATGGCGGAGTCTGTCACAGGTGAGGACAGGTGTAGCTAGAGACTGTGTGTGTGTGTTGACTGTTTCAAGTCCTGACTAGAGACATTGGAGCACTGCATGTCACCTACAGTTGTCCTCTCGTTCATGTTCCTCCATTGATGAGAGATGATGTTCTATCTGACGTGGTTACTGATGTGTGTATTGCCATGTTATGCCCTACTCTCTGTGCAGACCCCACACTCACTATCAACAACCTCCGTCACGTCACCTCTTCAGTCCAGGACTGGTATGATCTGGGAAACTATGACTATGGTCTTGGTGTTCCTCCTCCTGTGCTGGATGAGATAAAGGAGGAACCTGTCCTGACAGAGGAGGAGAAGAAAACAAAGGTCCTACTCTACTTCCTCCACAATGCCCCAATGGTCTCCTGGGAGAAAGTTGCAGGAGCACTGTACTGGAGGAAGGAGGAGAGGGCATTACAGGCAGTGAAGCAGTTCCTGCCAGTCTCAGCAGGTCAGTCTGCTGTGTCGTCATAGCCTCGTCTTCCCTAGCGACAGCCATTCTTCCTTTGTTACCGTGACCTTTGACCTTTAGTATGAGTTCCGTTCCTTCTTTTCGTTTGCCGTTTTCCGCGGCGGCATATACCTTTGCCTCGTGATTCGTTTAGTATATATATACGCCCTGACTGTGCCGTCGAACTTGGTCCGATTCGTTTATACGCCTTGGCTGCCGTCGACGGCAGCGATTAGCGTTAGCTAGATTTCTTTAGCGATCTGGGGCTACGCCCACTTTTGGTTTCTCCTTGTCGTGAGGAGAACGAAAACGCGTGTGGGTAACGGGAGGCGTTCCAGCGGCATTTTCGACTCCGCGCAGTATATTATACTCCGCGTGGTACGGTGTGTACGGAACGGAACAGAACGGAACGGAACGGTAATAGTTAATGTCAGTGTATATAGCATGCAAGAGAGTGGCTCAGCCGGCTGGCTGACCTTTGACCGCACAACAATAAGCGCTCGGCCGGTTGAGGCAGTAAGCGCGTCGTGCGAGCGAGAGAGTAAGGCAGGGCGTCGTGCGTGACTATTACCTAAGGCCGTGTGAATCCAGGAGCAGGAGGAGAAGCAAGTCCAGCAGTAATCCGGGTAACGGCCTGCCAACACCTTGCTTCCTGCCTCCCAGTATTTACTCAGTGCAAGCAAGATCTAAGTTTTACCGGCTACTCCGCAGACAAGACATACTACGCCGCTAGATGTAGCATGCAGGAATGGCTCGTATTGTACTGTATAAGCAGCATGCAGGAATGGCTTATACTATTGTGTGTATGTAGCATGCAGGAATGGCTCATACTACAGTGTATATGTAGCATGCAAGAATGGCTCATAACTATGTAGAGTAGCTCATCAATTATCGGACACCATCACCCGGACACAGCCATTTCTCTCGGACCAGACAGAGTTAGCTATCCTCGCTACGTTCAGTACCTCAGAGGGTATCACTCAACAGGCATGCACAGTACCAGCTTCGGCAGAGGGATAGTAACGCTACGGCGGCACAAAGATCGCTCACCGTCCGAACCACCGTCAGTCGGAATATGGCCCCTATGTTCGGACAGTGCTTGATTGTAAAGCTAAAGAGACAACGGAGACAAAGGAGACAACGTTATGTACCGAACACTAAAGTACTACAGCTCAACACGCCAGTACAGCGTCGTACAGCTGTGCGCAAACCGCCGCAATTATGCACAAAGACTCCGCCCACGTGCTTCAAACGATTGCGCATGCGCATTTGAGGCAAAATAAGGCGGATACTAGTTCCCGCAAGGGAGGAACTTACGGCATGTAACTCGCCTTGCCCTTGCAGTGAGTTGTAGGTATACAAGACATTGCTGTCCGACAATTCGAAGGTGTCCGATAAACTTCATCATTCATCGGACACCTTCGAATTATCGGACCGCAATGTCTTGCATACCTACAACTCACTGCAAGGGCAAGGCGAGTTACATGCCGCAAGTTCGTCCCTTCGGGAACTAGTACCCGCGTAATTTTACCTCAAATGCGCATACGCAATCATTTGAAGCACGTGGGCGGAGTTTTGTGCATAATTGCGGCGGTTTGCACACAGATGTACGACGCAGTACTGGCGTGTTCAGCTGTAGTATTATTGTGTGGAGGTTTTCTCGGTACATAACGTTGTCTCTTTAGCTTTAAAATCAAGCACTGTCCGAACATAGGGGCCATATTCCGACTGCCGGTGGTTCGGACGGTGAGCGATCTTTGTGCCGCCGTAGCGTTACTATCCCTCTGCCGAAGCTGGTACTGTTGCATGCCTGTTGAGTGACACCCTCTGAGGTATATACTGAACGTAGCGAGGATAGCTAACTCTGTCTGATCCGAGAGAAATTGCTGTGTCCGGGTGATGGTGTCCGATAATTGATGAGCTACTCTATACTAGAGTAATTCTAGCCTGAAAACACTCCCTTCTGGTAAAGAAACAAAGAGTGTAAAAGCCCCCCAATTGCATTACATGCTGCCAATTTCCTACTATCGTATAACTACCATATACCCACTGTGGTTTATGCAAATAAGTTGACATACAGCTAAAGTATGAAGAATGGAGAAATCGTATGCCCTCTCTACCCGTAAACTCTGCAGGAAGCACTCGCTACGCATCTACGTTGTTTGGACTAGCTGGAATTCCTTTGATCTTACTCTCAGTCATCATACAAAGTGTGTATGTAGCATGCAAGAATGGCTCATATTGTAGTCCATATGTAGCATGCAGGAATGGCTCATACTACAGTGTATATGTAGCATGCAAGAATGGCTCATACTATAGTGTGTATATAGCATGCAGGAATGGCTCATACTACAGTGTATATATGTAGCATGCAGGAATGGCTACATACTTTTGCTTCCACTACAATATTCTACTTTATACAAACCCTCCCTAATTTCTCCATTACTTTTCCACGTACATTTAAGGTAGCTACTTGAAAGTCCAGCACTGTTGGGATTACGAAACAGTACATTTTGTCCGGTAGTGTAATTCCTGTGCTTGATCTTTTTGATATGCGCTCTCTTGTTATGCAAGATTTGCCTCAAATAGTTTTCGTTTAAGCTCAGCCTGTTTCACTTGCAGTTCTCCTAGCATATGTAAGGCTTGCTGATTTTGTGGAACATTTGTAATATGAGGAAATGTGCTTGTTTTACCCACTGTATTCAAGTCGAAACATAAGTCCTCTTCATCATCATCCAAAAACAGAAAATCCTCTTCCATACATTCTGGCTCTGCACACTTATCCCTAATTTTCAGTGACCCTGTTCTTCCATGAAAAGCACTGTACGGTGTGCAGTGTATAGTGTGGTGCCATGTGTGATTTAGAAAATACTCAATGTCCTTTACCAAACCTGGCCAAACTGTACTCCTGTCACACTCTTCATGGGCTCATAAAAAGTGCCTAAGGCAGTTCTTTACTCTGCGATTTAAATTCTCTACTTGACCCTGCGACTGTGGGTGATAAGGCCTTCCTTGTTTCATTCTAATATTGTACCTGCTGCATAAATCATTTACCGTCATGTTTACAAACTCACTGCCATTATCTGTATGCAAAAGTTTAGGTGGCCCATGATCATGAAATATTTTAGATAGAATTCTTGATATAGGTAATGCTTCCTTCGACTCAAGAGGGTTAAGCCAACAGTACTTTGAAAAACAGTCTTTTACAGTCAGTATGTACTTAAATTCACTGCTATTAGGAACACCTTTCTTTGATGTGATGGTAATTAGGTCACATTGTACTTCCTCCATCACTTGCATGGAACGATTTGCCAGGGGCGCAGGTGGAAAAGTTTCCAACGTTTTACATGTTCCCTTACACTGATTGAGTACAGATTTTACAATTGTTCTAATACCTCTATAATAATAAGTTGAACAAAATGACTTCTCCAGTAAATTTATTCCTCCAGGGGTGCACACCCCAGCACTGTGAATGTGCAAAGATTTCACAATCTCCCTTGCCTCACTTCTGGTAACAACTTTTCTCCTTTGTTCACGTTTTCCAATCCTTTTTATGTGCAATAATGCACCATCGTCACCTTATAGTGAAGTTTGGCAACGACCTTTTCCCTCCTTTGAACAGTTTTTTGCAGTGTGCCTTGCAAAAATCCAAAACAGCTGGGTCAGAAGTCTTTTGAAAACAATAATTTTTAATTAAGTCTATACTGGAGCTTGTTATCCACTCATCCTCGCATTCTGTGTAGAGTATCACGCTCTAAATTCTGACCAACCTGTAGCTAATCTACAGTGTCTCCAACTAAACTTCAACATCGCTGATGCGCAGTCCGCAAAGTTTATCCGTTTGTTGTACTTGCCACACCTTTTGAAGTTCTTTTCTCCTCTGATTTATGCTTGTAAAATGCGTATGAATTTTGTAAAAATGTTGATGGAAAAATTGGAGGCTCTGAAACTACTGCATACACCATCCCAGTGCTTATACCTTAAGGCACTAGAAACACCAAAAGGTGTGGCTGTTATTTGCTTTTGGTGGTAAATTATCTTACTGAAGACTTAGTTCCCTCACCTAGTTCATCTCCACTGTCACCACCTAGCCCTTTGACACAACAATGTAGATTGATACCATGGGAAAGGTTGCCTGGTAAATGTAGCTATAGAGCTGATCCTTGCGTCTAAGAATTCGGATGCCGTTCGACAATGTTAGCATGTGAGATGGAACTCCAGATGCATGTGCTGCCAAATGGTAAACATCGGCGCACACAGTGTTATAGTGGACATCTTGAATCAAGAAGGAATCTTCAAGTGCATGAATCCATATGCTTATAACAAAAATTATTATTGATCCAACTTTATTTTAATTAATGTTACTTACCTTTGCAAGGGGGTCGGGCTACGTTGTGTGCTTGGAAAGATAGACCCATATCTATGGTTGCAAATTAAAGGGAGGTAACAGTTTACTATCCGCAACACCGACTATCACAAACCTTCCTCTGCTGGTTACTGCCTCAGCTTCAATTGTGCAGCAGATGAAGACGAACTTAAGCGTTACGTCGGTTAGCGCGATGATGGTTAGCACCGCAAGTGCTGCTACCCATAAAATATGGATAGGAAATGTTGGGCTGAGAAGAAATCTCTGTAATCGCTCCGGACGAGCCCAGTCTTGAGTTGTCTTCTGCGTGGGAGCAGATACAACAGTTGTTGGAGATGGTCGTTCTGAGAAGAACGGGTTGAAGCAGACTAAGAGCTGCGGCAAGGCATCTTTCCTCTGAAACTGCAGTAATAAGGTTTATAATTTGTTTGGACATCATGTCCAACCAAAGCAAATATTGTTTGGACACTGCTGATATTTGCTTGGACATGTTTTATTAACCCTCGGCGCGCATGCGCAGCGAGGGTTACAGTAGTCGTTCTGTCTGTCTGTATATACGTCTGTGTGTGTGTGTGTCGACGCTTATTCTGGCACTACAGGCTATGAGGCGGGCCCGCTAGTGATACCAGCGGATTCAGAACTACGGGAGCCTGAAAAATTATTAGGCGATTTTCCTCAAACGACTTCGTTCGAGAGATATGCCGTGAAAACAAGTGAATCGCACTGGGCTTACCGCGACCTGATCCGCTCGCTCCGTGTACCTTGGGGGCTCAGGAAGTCATAACCAATGGCATGTCATGCTATCTACTACTGTAGCTAGCCCGTGTCTGACTCTCCGCGGGCTACTAGCGGAAGACCACGAGTAAACGCAAATAGCGGCCCAGGTGAATAGAAGTGGCAGAGACGCGAGCAGCGAGCGCCGTGGGAGGCAGACGATCGATGTCACCCGATTCTCAGTACACGTCACGTGGCTTTTTAAAATGCGCATGCGCATTACGCGAGTAGAGAGCTGCACGGACGCAATGACCGGCCGTTCTTAACTTCGTGCGGCCAATCGTATAAATCGCTCGGATATTGGCCGTTGGCCGTCAGTAATTTTGTACTCTGAACTGTGCACTGTGCTGTGCAGCCCATGCGCCGTCACACCACAAACACCTCGCTATCGACAACATCGAGCCTTCTGCAGAGTCTGCAGGGTAACCTATTGCCTCTAGTCAACCAACACCAACCAACACAAAACAACACAACCAACCAACACAGTTTAGACCTCTGGCACTAACTTTCCACCCTGCATAGGTGCGTACGCTGCGCTGCTACGAGCCATGGCTACGATGACGGTTTCTTCCCGCTGATCTAAGGCGAGGCTGGGCAGGTCTGAGCATATTTCTGCGCGCATGGGTACTAAGGGGCGCGCTTAAATAGGCGGCGCGCGCTTGAGCCACTCTTGCATGCGAGCCATTCTGGCATAATACAAAGTCAGTGCTGTACGTGTAATAATGGTACGAGGGGCGCGGTCGAGATAGTCATACAGCACGGGCGCTGCCGAGTGCTGTATATATGAGCTATCGAGACCACGTTCCGAGTACCATTATCACGAGCACAGCACGTGCTTCCATACATTAAGTTAATTATTGTATGCGTGGGCGATTCAAAAGGCGGCGACCAGGAAAACCGGTGTTTTGCACATTCAGAATGGAAGAGAGGACGAGAAGCTCTCGGAGCGCCCTTCCAGCAGCTGTTTGTGTCACCGTCTAAGTCGAACTCCGTCTACGAAAAGGCCGCCGAGGGTGTCATTCCCGCAAAGCGTACGCTAGTCCGCGGATACAGTACAGTTCGTGTGATATAGTACAGTTCATTCAAAAACTCTTCTGTATGATGAATAATATAGTACTGGCGGCACCTTTGATTTGCCCACGCAAAATACAATAAGGGACCGATATAGAACGCCGTTCGGTAACGTTGCACCCCATATGGTAGCAGTCATGACTTGCATGAAGCTGAAAGACTTGCCTGCAACCAGCAGCTTGTTACACGAGAATTTCTCTCTCCTGTTGTGTTCCCAGAGGCCAGTCTCACTCCAGAGAACCTCTCCACAGTTCTAGACATCATGAGTGGCGGTCTGTGGAGGTCGTTTGGTGGATTTGCCAACATACCAGACTCTGAGTTGGACAGGATCAAGGAACAGTGTACCAGTGACAGAGAGTGCAAACAGGCCCTGATTCTCTCTTTCATCTCATCACATCCAGCACCATCCTGGACTCTGGTGGCACGGGCTCTCTACATGACTGAGCGGAGCGAGAGTGAGGGCAGTAGTCTCCGAGCATTGGATCACCTGCAGCAGTTGTTCCCCACTGGTACAGTGGACTTTCTTGGTTGGTTGGCAATGCCTTCAACATGTACGCTTTACTCCCATGCAGGAAGATTCCGCTCCAAGCAGATCTACGAGCAGGAGATGAAAAGAGGCCACATTGAGGTAGACCTGGACAAATTGCTGCTCTTTGGCACAGCTGGCAGTGGCAAGACGTGCTCCCTCGCTGCACTGCTTGGAGTGGACCCTCCCACCATCCGACGCAGCACTCCACTGATGAAAAGACCCATCGAGGTCGTGTTCGTGGAAGTCGACGGCAAAAAACAGTGGAAGAAGCGAACATTAGACCAACTGCCAGACGCAATCGCTGAAGTAATCAAGTCGCGAATGCCACGGCAACAGTCAGTGGCACAGAGCAGTGGTGGCCCAGCCTCCCCCCGACCAGCAGCCTCCCCACACCGCAGCCAGCCAGTCAGCTCAGCCAACTCCAGAGAAGAGGAATGGCTCCACATCTGAAGCAGCCGGGAAGAGCACAGCATCCTCAGAGGAGAAGCCCAGTGCCAGGGAGCGGCAGGAGGCAGAAGGGAGGCTGGATTCCCTGCTCCTGTCGAGTGCGGTGGACGAGGGGTTTGTATATCTCATCAACAGTGCTCCTCCCTCCCTGCTTCCCATCATGCGACTGAGGCAGATGCTCGTGCTGGACTCTGGCGGCCAGCCCGAGCTTCTAGAGATGATGCCCGTCTTCCTGAGGGGTGCGTCCAAATTTGTCTATGTCTTGAAGCTCCACGAGTCTCTTGACAAGCCAGCGATGATCCGTTACTTCAAAGACGGCAAGCTAGTGTGGGAGTACCCAGCCTACCTGACCAACGAAGGGACCCTGAGACTGTGCGTGCGGACCATGAGGTCCCTGAACAACAAGAACCCCGACATTCCTCCTGCGAAAATGATGTTTCTGGCCACCCACCGAGACATGGTGGCAGACGAGCAGCTGCCCGGAGTGCTGGACACTCTACACAAGAGGCTGAGGGAGATCCTCTTGCCTCAGTTCAGGGAGCAGCTCATCTACTGCGATACGAAACGGGACGACTTTGTCTTCGCACTGAATGCGGCAAAGCCGGAGAAGGAGGACAGGGAGTGTGCGGAGAGCATTCGGGAGTGTCTTAGTGAGGTGGGGGAGGGGGGAAGGGAGGTGAAAGTGCCGTTGCGATGGTACGCTCTGTACCAGAAGCTGCTGGAGGTGGCAAATGAACTGGGGAAGAAGGTGCTGCCTCGAGAGCTGTGCCAGAAGGTGGCAGAGTCGATGGAGATCGATGACGAGTCGTGTGGGGAAGCCCTGAACTTCTTTGACGGTCTGAACATGCTGTTCTACTTCCCCGACATCCTGCCCCAGCTGGTGTTCATGGAGCCACAGATGTTGCTGGATAAGGTCTCAGAGCTGGTGGAGGAGACCTACCACATGAGGCAGGGAAAGAAAGGGCCGTGCCGGGGGAGAAGCTGAGGTTCCGTGACCACGGCGAAGTGACGGAAAAGTTTCTGGGGGAGTTCGAGAGCCACTACGAGCCACCTCTGTTCACACCCAAGGAGCTGGTGACCCTGCTAAAGGGGTTGCTGGTGTTTGCGGAGATGTCGGAGGACGTGTACTTCATGCCGTGTCTGCTGCAAGTGGTGGCGTGGAAGGTGGTGGAGGAACACCGAGTGAGTGGCGGGAAAGCCCTGGCTCTTCACTTCCCCGACAGCGGTCCCCTGATGGGAACGTTCTGCTCCACTGTAGCTTACCTCCTGTCCCCCGAAAACAGTCACCCCTGCCCCTGGAGAGTGGCTCAGAAGAAGGAAGGAGCTCCGAAATGCCTCCATCGCAACGTCATCAAGTTCACCGTTTCAGACTACGCAGGCACCGTGTCACTCATCGATCACTTCACCCACTTCGAACTCCACCTATGCACCCACCCCAAGAAGGCAGCTCAGCTGTGGAAACTGGCACACGACGCAGTGTTTGCAGGTCTCAAGAAAGCAGGGAAGACCATCGGCTACACAAACAACACTCCAGTCCCAGCCATCGTATGCCCCGCCCACCCCCGCCCAGCCAAACCCCACCCCGCCACTGTTGACAAGGACAGAGTGTGGACATGCTCAATTGACTCTGAAAAGTTTGGAGACGTTGACGAGGACTCTATTCCATGGCTGACCCTCTGCACGTCTACCTGTGAGTGTGGAGGTCCACCCACTGAGGGCTCTAATTGGAAAAGTCTCATTATGCTTTTCTTTCTTTTCCCCTACAGCTGCTGAGTCAGCCACACCCTCTCTCTCCTCTTCATCTTCTGCAGTTCCCCCCACCTCCCAGCCTCCCCTCTCTGTCTCCACAGCTCCTGCCTCCTCTGCCACTGCCACCACTACTACCAACGCTCCTGGTGAGTCCTTGCATCTCTATGTGCCCTATTTTTTATATTCATTCATGTTCCTCTACAGTGTCAGAGTGTTCCACAGTCTCCTCCACTACTGCCTCTGTTCCCTCTCCCTCCCTGTCCTCTCCTCCTGCCTCCACTACCACTACCAACACTCCTGGTGAGTCCTCTTCCCCGTATTTGTATGGACACAAAGCAGACCCTTTGTTCATTATACACTCTACTCTCTACAGTTCTCTCTACCTCTCCTGCTACAGTGTCCACAGCTCCTCATCCTGTCTCCTCCAGTCCTGGTGAGTCCCCTCTTCAAGGGCATTGCTGACTGTTTGTTTTGCCTTCTACTGTCTCTCTCTATACTCAGTCATCGAGTGTTCCTCCACCTCCTCCACTACTGCCACAGCTGCTATTCCTCTCTCCTCCACTGCTGGCACCACTCCTGGTGAGCCTCTTTTAGAAACAGTCTTCCCTACCACCATAATACACATTGATGTGTGTAGTACACCCACTGAGGGCTCTAATTGGAACTGTCTCATTGTGCCTACAGCTGCTGAGTCAGCCACGTCCTCTCTCTCCTCTTCATCTTCTGCAGTTCCCCCCACCTCCCAGCCTCCCCTCTCTGTCTCCACAGCTCCTGCCTCCTCTACCACTGCCACCACTACTACCAACACTCCTAGTGAGTTCTGAGCTGATGTAATTATTAGATGACATTTTGGCGAGCGGGAGCGATCCAACTACAAATATACAGCCACTGGTGATCACAGGGAGGAGTATAGTTTGTCATATAGCCGTCCTCCGCTGCTGGAGGTGTGCCTCTCGTGCGTGTGATGCCAGAAAGAATTGCGTGCTTTCCAGTCCTCAGCTGCTAGACGCTGCCGCCTGCGAGCTATGTCTCCTGCTCCTTGGCTGTTTCTGGAGCAAGAGGCTGCCTCCTGCGAGCTCTGCTGTGGTAGAGGCGTAGTTGTGCTGGGATCGATGACAATACGTGTTGTTGCACACGTGTGACGTAATATTGCATTGAGGCTGGCCGTAGTTTAGACTCACGTAGAACATTACGGTATGTGTGGCATCGCTGGATATAAAGAAATGGAAAATCGGCCCGTTGACACGACTAGGTGTGCTCGCTCCCACTCACCAATTACATGGGAGAAAATTGAGATGATGATGTGTCTTTGTGTTCTATTCTAGGGCAAGTAGTGCTGCCTGACCTGATAAAACTATCAACATCCCAGGGAGATATCAGAATATTGAGAGAGAGTGCAGTAAAATTCAGAGACATTGGGGCCTTATTACTGAGAGATGATAGAGGAGCAAGAGTCAGTGCCATAGCAAAAGACTGCACTTGGTGACCAAGTTGAAGCTGCTAGAATGATATATGTAGAATGGATGGAAGAAGATGAAGATCACTCATGGGAGAAACTGATCCAGTGTTTGAGAGATGTTCAACTGAACTCTCTTGCCAGAGACCTTGAGCTACACTTTGGACTCCCTTCACCTTCTGACAATGGTAAGGTAAATGTACAGGGAGACACTCTTCTAGCAGTAGTGCATGAGAACTTATACATAAAAATATGAAAAGAGTTAGGAAAAGAATGCATCAAAGAAGACGGAATTCTATGGATTTTGCCTTGGGGACTACAGGTTGTGGTTGTTCCTCAGTTCACTAATCACTTGTTGCCTAGAGTAAAGAATAGTGTATCATAATACTAGCACACTTCCTTATCAGGCAATTAGTGCAGCTGTCTGGGCCTTGACCACAAATAGAAGGGACAGCTACATAGCTAAAGTATGTTCACCTTGCACCCAGAAGTACTACTGTCAAAACTGTTTACCCAAACACACCTCATAAGGGGCATACCACAAATGTTTGTGGCTAATCAATGGTATCCCAGGTAGTGCTCCCCACTTGCCCAGTGCTCAGAGATATTAGCACAAGTTTAGTCCCCAGGGCTTAGAGACATGTTAAACCTACTGTGAAGTTGTTGGTCGACTGTTTGAACAGAACCCGCTCTCTGCACACCAGAGCGTGGGTCGTAAACACGGGCTAGATCTACGCGCTCACTAGCACGTTGTGCTTTGAATGTCCAGTTTTGGCCGTAGTATAGCGGAGTTACGGCAGATTCCCCTAGTGCAAGGAGAATGCAAATGGACATTAGTTGCTAGTTTCTATGAAAATGGCAGTTCAGCTGCACTTTTGACTCCTTTCACCTTCTGACATTTGTAAGGTGGGGGACACCCTTCAAACAATAACGCATGACAACCACCTATGAGCGTACCTGAAGAGGCATGGGGGAAATGCATACAAAAAACTACCTGTCAAAAAAAGCAGACTTCTATGGCTTTTGCCTTGGGGGAACTTCACGTTTTAGTGGGTGGTTGTTCCTCAGTTCACTTTCACATAATTATTCACGTATTCACGTACTGCCGTCTCCCCTACCTCTCACTACTTACATACAGAGGCACAGCAGGAAGGAAGTCAAGCGACTCACAGACCAGCAAGGACTACATGTGTTTGTTGTACTTTGTTTTAAGTGTAGTGCTAGTCAGTTTTGTGATCTCTGTATTTATCGCTGAAGACTGATATCCAAGCTGACAACTATACTGAAAATCCAATATATACAGTAACACAGAATATCATCAGTCCATCTGTTGCTACTATAATATACCCAGCATACATTACCACCACTGTCTGTTGCTACCACCCAGCATACGTTACCACCCACTGTCTGTTGCTACCACCCAGCATACGTTACCACCACTGTCTGTTGCTACCACCCAGCATACGTTACCACCAGAGTCTGTTGCTACCACCCAGCATACGTTACCACCGCTGTCTGTTGCTACCACCCAGCACATGTTACCACCACTGTCTGTTGCTACCACCCAGCACATGTTACCACCACTGTCTGTTGCTACCACCCAGCATACGTTACCACCAGTGTCTGTTGCTACCACCCAGCATACGTTACCACCGCTGTCTGTTGCTACCACCCAGCACATGTTACCACCACTGTCTGTTGCTACCACCCAGCATACCTTACCACCACTGTCTGTTGCTACCACCCAGCACATGTTACCACCACTGTCCTTACCATCCAGCATTCACTGCACACAGCACAAAGACTCCAAACATACAGCACTCATTTCCATTCTCATCACCAATAATCCGCTTTCTCTGTTCAGTAAACTTGCTACCGCATGCGCGTTGATATGTCAATCGGTGGAGCGAGCGGATCTAAGATTAGTCTGGGGGCAAGGGAAAGAATGGGAGATAAACTGTTGTGATTATCATTGGTCTGGTGGCTCCTAGTCATGCATTCCTCAGAGATGGAAACTCTACCAGCTGAGTTGCCCTGGTAGCTCAGTTGGTAGAGCGCTCGCACCCCCGCCCAAGGCAGGTCTTCATCTTCTGCGCATGCGCGCACAGGAATGACTGGTGCGCTTCAAATTGAATAATGGCCAACTTTGAAGCTCTAGTGAAGTGGTCGCTGAAGTACCATGATGGGACGAGGAACGAGCCACAGATGGACGACGAGGTTGGGTCTCTCGCTAGCATTACCTGCAGCCTATGGCTCACAGAAGCTTTTCTGCTTATAATTTATGTTTGTGAACTTTTGCAAGAGTCTCTTGATGTCTGTCCCTCAGCGTCGCCGGTAGTTGCAGGAGGCTCTGCAGGCCGTAGCTTCGGTTCCGACAGAGTCTCAGTTACTGCAGGCGGCGCTGACAGTCCTGAGAGTAAGTAGCATGAGATGCTGCAATGCCGTCTTTTGTTGTCTTTCTGCTCTGCTGAGTAGGTAGCATGTAATGGTTTTTAAATCCTAACCTGAACTTTCGTTACAGTGGGTTCTGTGTGATAATAATATTCTTAATGTCTCCCACTCCTGTTAACGAACCTTGCAGTCGCCTACATGGTTGCACATAATAGCCGACTATGATTGTTATTGGGATATCTCTCTTATCCTCTATAATAGGCCCATAGTCCAGCGGGAGGAGATGTGGGAGAGGAGGAGGGAGAGGAGGAGGAGGAACATCTACTGAGAACCTTTGAGGAGATACAGTATCTCATTGAGGACCTCGACAATGCCAATAGTATGACATCATCCATGACACTGTGTGCCTTTTGATTAAACTCTTGTTCAAATTAAAACTGTTGTTTGTGGTGAAATTAGGAAATAATACGTTTTCTTCTACTGCAGACCTGATACCAATGAATGGTGTTGAAGTGGTAGCCAGTTACTTGGATCACAAGAAACAGTGAGAATAATAAAATGAGAATTTCAATGCTGAATTGTAAATACAATAATTAGGTCACTGGTGCGGTCATCATGTGAGCTGATTGCCACGGCAACACAGAACAACCCCAAGACCCAGGAGGCCTTCCTAGCGATGCTACCTCGTCTGCTGACGATCCTTAATGACAGGAGTTACCCCTCGAGTGTCTGGGTGAAGGCTCTGTACGCTGTGTCTTGTAAGATATTACTTTATGGTGTTTTATATGAATGCCTCTATTGTAGGTAGAACACTGTATGTAGTAAATGTGCTGACGTATATCAAAACGTATTGAACGATTGAATACTCCAATTGGTCGCGATTAAATTTTTTCCTCATCATCAGTATTTTGAAGATAAAGGCATAAAGAATGTCACAAAGTTACTGATGATACTTTAAACATATCTCACTTTCAACTACAGTGATGTAATATGTCTGTAGGTATGACACGGAGCTACACTCCAGGAGTGGAGAGACTGCTCTCTCTGGACGGACTGGCAACACTCCGTCTCTGTCTGGGGGCCGACGACACCAAGATGGTCGTCAAGACTCTCTTCATCCTCATGAGCTACTTCTCCCCAACCCAGGGAGAGGTGAGAGGTGAGTTCTTATTTACGTTTGCATTGCGTGTTAGAAATAAAAGTGCTCTTGAGAGGCTTTGGGCCCTAAGGAAACTAGTGATGTGTCTTTGGTGATGAAGTAAAACCGGGAGGCACTTGATGCCAGACAAAAGTGTTTTTTGTTGCAAGATAACTCCTAGCTGGATTACAAACTGACTAGTGTGTGCGACAGTATCCAATTTAGCGTATTGTACGCAGTGCGAAGGTAACACTAATATTTGAAATACAACTGTTGTATCATGATGACATGGTACATTTTAAAAGGTTTTAGCACATATAGTCATACTTGTAATAAACACAAAACTTTGCTCTGGTTCGTCTTGGGAAATTCCAGCACTAACTGGTATGGAGAGAGAGTTGACCTTTCTAGTCTACCCTGTTCTCATATTGACACAGACTTCCTGTGAAAGAACTACTGCAGGAACAAGCGTATGTCCCACAGCCATCGATACATGTACATGATAATATAGTCATACTCGGAGTAGCATGATAGCGCCATTGAGTACCAGTTTCATGTGTCAATGAAGGAACAAGGGGACGAAACAGCATCTGAAGAATGTGTACACGTCTCTGGGGCTGACGATGCTGTCAGCAGCAGCCGGGGCCCTGGGCTTCTTCCTGCTTCAGCTACAGGTACGCCTGACATCTGTGATACTGTTGTAACGCTATCTGTATCAGTGTATTGACTGTACATTATACAGTGTGTTATGGTAGGAGTGAGGGATACAAGGTAGCAGAGCCCTATTTAATTAAAGGGGTGTGTCACAGTGAGTGAGTGTGGTAATATGACCAGTGCTCTTGCTGGCAGATGTTAAACCATCACATCGGTCATCACATCCAGTCCTTATTATTGTGTGGACTACATACATTCTGGTAGGCTAGACTGTGGCCACCATGTCATCCATTCTAGGCACAGAGTCCTGAGTTAGTATGGCACTATCAAGACTATTCAATTAGGGGTGGGGTGTACTTCTAAAACAGGGTGCTTATGAATTATTAATTCCACTTACCTCAGCTTTCAGACTGAAAACATTACTTGCTACTCATGTTTCAAAGCACTTCCTGTTGGGAAATCCCCTACTGGCCTAAAGCCTTTCAAGTGCTACTAGTGTAACCACCTATTTGCATGCACAATAATTGTACACACCTCATTTTCGGGATTTTTCAATCCGGACGGAGCGCCCGGTAGTTATAATGCTGGGAAACACTGGTATTATGCTTCTAAATTTAGAAGGGAATGATGCAATGAATTTTCCAGGTGATGAATGATGTAATAGGCATGACTTTCCGGTGTATAATATAGAGCGATGAGAAACATGCTTGGTGATGTGTATTATCTTATGTGGCCTGATCTGATTGGTCCAAATACGTGTAGTAGATATGATGCAATGACACACTATTGCTCTCCCTTCACACACACACACACACACACACACAGGTTTCACTGCTGGCAGTCCTGGGGTCCATTGGTCTCCTATTTGCCATCATGTTCACTCCACACACTCCCGAGAATGTTACCAAGAGACTCGGTATTGTCCACATCTGCATTTACATACAACTAGACTACATTTTCATTTCTCACGTATTGCTATTGCTGTGTAATGAATAAACTTTCAATGACCACTCTATCACTGTATTTCATGTACAACCTCCCCCTCCCCCCTCCCCCCTCCTCCCTCCCTCGTGGTATCTCTAGGTTTCCTCTGTGCCTTTGGTGCATGCACTGGTGTTAGTCTGGGCCCACTACTTGGTGCAGTTGCTGACATCCAGCCAAGGTCTGCATTGGTTAATTCATTCACACTTTACATTACGTTTCTTTTGTGACATTGAGAACTGCATGTGCATGAGTAGCTACTACTATCACAGTTCATGGTTTGACTGGGCTAAGGGACTCTGCCCTGGCAAGTAAAGAGTTGCTCCATAGCCTTTTGTGAATTGTCTGCTTACTACAAGCATGTCTACTGCTTTTTGCTGTTCAATACATGTATATAGATGAAACTGTCCCATACTTGTCTCAAACACATTTCGATATGTCTACGTAAACATGACCTATCCATTTTTTTTCTTCTCTTTATCTCTCTCTCTCTCCACACCTCTCTATGGTACACAGTATCATCCCAACGGCATTCCTTGGTTCGTGTGCCATATTTGGTAGCCTCAGTCTTGCCGCTCTGTATGCCGAGAGGAGAAGTATGCTGTTCTTGGGAGGTATGCCAGCAGCTATTTCATTACTCACCAACAGAGAGCATGGGATAAGGTTTTCTGTTTGTTCATACTAAATGTCAGACCATGCTAGATTTGCCAGGACACACCCAGAAGTTACAGATAGCTTACCAACACTTCCTTCCTTTGGCCAACTGTTTGTAATCTTCACTGGGTTTTCCCTGGGGTTTCCCCTTAACTATTGGCAGTTGCTGCTTTTCCAACTCCTAATGCACATGGAGCCACACTATGTCATGTGACAATAGCTAGTTAACCAGTAGAATCGAATTACTTTACAAGTACATGTGTTAATGTCTTTATGCTGACTAGGAGAACTGCAGTATACATCAACTAGTTTAAAAACGGAATGTTTTTTCCTCGCACTCTGGCAGTTTTTGTCACAATTCTTGCTGTTGTATGATATCTGTATGTATGTGTATGTATGTAGGTTTTCTGATTTCTGGACTCAACATGTTGGTGATGATGCTGTTCTTCAATATCTTCTTGGGATCTCACATGGTCTTCCAGGTAAAGTATAGTCTCTCATTTCCAGGTCTGTCCCGGTGCATGTTTTACACGTTGTACGTGGCGTGACTGTTTCCACATGTTGAACCATCATGCCGAGTAAACACAGACGTAGTGGGAGAGACACACATCCATACACATGTAGTACAGGTACATACACTTCACTGTCCCCCTATACAGTCCCTACACAGTAAGTGTCACCACGCAGTACGCACAGATGTCACAAGCAAGCATTAGAGTTGGCTCTTCTCTAGGTTTATAGGCTTATTTCTAGGCCCCTCGGGGTGTCCAAATCCCGTATTTCCACTGATGCACAGTATAACCTATTCTTATAGACTTCTTTCTTGTTGTAAATCACAATTAGTTGACTCTTGTCCACCTTCTCCCCCTCACAGCTGGATGTGTACGGTGGTCTCATTCTGTTCTGTGGGTTCGTTCTCTTTGACACCCAACTGATTGTGGAGCGATTCAACAACGGAGACAACGACTACGTCCGTCACTCTCTCGACCTCTTCCTCGACTTCATCAACATCTTCCGTCGTCTGCTCGTAATCCTGGCCTCCAAGGTTTGTTTCCTCTTGTGAGACATGGACAGGGAGAGAGAGAGGGAGGGAGAGAGGGAGGGAGAGAGAGGGAGAGAGGAGAAAGAGGAAGACTTTACTGAGGTGATCCACACTTTGTCTACCGTCTTTTTTAAAAATTGAAGTAATAAACTGTGAGTTTTTGAGTTGAGTTTCAAACTGTGTGAATGGTTCCATACATCCATTCTACCTTTTACTTGATGTGTCCACATCTTTGACTTCCTCCCCCCACCCTGTCTTCTCTCCCTCTCCCTCTCTTTTTTATCTCTCCAGGAGAAGAAGAGGAAGAACTAACTACACATTATACTGTTCTCTGGGTGATAGAGACTTCAACTGTAGCTGTTGTAGCATCAAAAACACTATACACACCAGAAATTACCAATTGTACCCAAAACCTACTCATTTGTACCCATGCACCATTTTTTGTGATAATTTTGCTGCTAATAAAGATGTCAGTGTGCCAGTGTGTTGCACTGCAGTGAACTCGGAGTGGCTTCAAAAGTGGATGTGTGTTGGTGCTCTTAAAATAGAGTATTGTACATAATGTAGGAATGACTGCTAAAATAATTGTGGTGCATATACATAAGCTAGCGTCCCTTATGAGATTGCACTTAGCAGGGTGATATCAAAATTAATGCACATACAGTATTGTAGCACTGGTGCAAGATACTTAATATAGTATTTATTTGAAACTGTAGTTGATGACTAGTGTATGGCACTAAGACAACTCATTAGTATGCATGGTGTATGGTGTGCTGACTCAGCCATACACGCACATGTGGTGTATGACACCATGGCATGCATACTAATAAGTGGTCTTAGTGCGCATTCCTGTGGTATATAGTACAAATTGGTTACACTACACCCACCACTACTCTGCTGCGCACTCGTAGTGTATGCCGTCTCGTGGGCATAGTGTAACCTATATTTGTTCGATCAAAGGAAGCTATAGTTGATGACCATTCAGGCACTAAAGGAGACTCCAGTCCTTGACACTGTATCAGAGCTGGGAAGACTCCTGGTGGGTGGGTGCTGGAGAGACGGTCATCAGACCCCACATCACTGTCCCAGACACTCTCTTCAAACCATCTCCACATACCCACTCAAAAATCAAGAGTCTCGTACCATTCTGGCTCTTCATCATGTGATCCCATTAACCCCTCATCAAAGGAATGAACGACGAGAGTCCTTACGATAGCGGACGGAGGGTCTTCGTCCCGCGTCTCGCCACAAGTAACTGGAAACTGTGAGGTAGAGGCCCCGCAGGAAGACGACGAGGACTAGGAACGCAGCCAGCGACGAGAACGTGACGACATCTGATATTACCTCCTCCCCGCGACCCCGCCCCTTTTCTCAATTTTGCTAGCCGGCCACGTGGGTGCGCCCTCTCCTCTCTCTA